CGGTGTGAGGGCTTCTCATTGTGGTGGCTTCTCTTGTTGCGGAGCACGGACTCTAGGCGCGCGGGCTTCAGTAGTTGTGGCACACGGGCTCAGTAGTTGTGGCTTGCGGGCTCTGGAGTGCAGTATCAGTAGTTGTGGCACATGGGCTTGGTTGCTCCAAGGCATGTGGGATCTTCACAGACCAGGGCTTGAACCCGTGTCCCTTGCATTGGCAGGCGGATTCTTAACCACTGCGCCACCAGGGAAGCCCTTGTGGTCTGACTTTTCTCTCCGTCTCCCTCTCGTGAAACTGGTTTCTCAGATTCACTCTACAATTATCTGTTCTTCCCTATTCTTCAAGGTCTCCACCATCGAACAGGGACTCTGAGAGTATCCTGCGGATGGCCACAGATTCTTTGACACTCCTCCATTGAAAAGTGTGATCTATGTTATGTCCTCTCTTCTTGAATCTGGGTGGACTTGTGACTGCATTCATCACCAATAGAACAACACTGTAGAACTCTTTCTCTGAGATTTCTGAACCTTGCTCTCAAAAGGTCTTGTGGATGTTTGTTTGTTTGTTTGTTTTTGGTTTTTTGCTTGTTTGTTTTTTACCAGGATACTTGCTTTTGGAGGCCCAAGTCACACGGAAAGGCCCTGTGTAGGCATGTCCATTGACAGTACCAGCTGAGCCCAGCCCTCAAGTCATCCCAGGCTCAGTGCCAGATATGTGAGTAAAGAAGCGTCCAGATGATCCTAATCCCCAGTCATTCAAGCCATGTCCAGCTGTCTGAGTCTCCCCAGCTGAGGTCTCAGATATCAAGGAATAGAGACAAGCCATCTTGGTCCATGACTCACAGATTCCATGAGCATAAAGAAAAATGATAGTTATGCCACGAAGGTTTGAGGGTGGTTACATAGCAATAGATTACTGGAATGGTAGAACATCTGGACTCTAGACTCCAGCTGCCCTCCTGATCTCTCCACTTGGATATCTAATCATCATCTCAAACTTAACATAACCAAGGTAGACTTTTGAATACATATTCTTTTATGACCAGAATCCTGCTCCCCTTCCAGTCATTTCCACCTCAGTAAATTATCCCATTTGCTGGAGGCAAAATCCTTAGAACCATCCTTCTTTTCTCCTTTTACTTCATTTCTCATATCCAATCCACCAGCAATACCTGTTAGTTCTCCGACAAAAAGTAGCTTTAATCTGATTGAGTGGTCTTCTTACCTGATGTCAACAGTCTCACCTGAGCCATTCCCATCTCTCCACTGAGCCACTGAGCACTGAGATGCTTTCTAACTGGTCTCCTAGTTTCCCTCTTGTTCCTTTACATTACATTCTACACAAAGGAAAGAGAGTGGCTTTTATGACATATGAGCAGGTCATGTCTCTCCTCTGCTCAAAACGCTTCAGTGGTTTCCCTTTAAAAAAAAAAAAAAATATATATA